GCTGCCAACAGCAGGTCTCTTTTTTCTCAAAGCCTCTTACATCTTTTTTTATACTTGCCAAATTGAAACAGTATTTGTTTTAATGGGAGTTCTAATTAACCACTATGTATTCCCCCTCTTGCTCTGCGAGTGGTGGAGCTGTGAATGCAGGCTATGTGCTCATCCCCTTTGATTTGTTGTCAGTGTTGGCTGCCAGCTGACACAGTGCCCGGCGAGAGGCTTAATGCCCAACTTTTAATAATGTGGGGGACTACATGCTCTCCCCCTCTCATTGGTATTCAGGTGCACAGCGTCTTGTTAGAAGTCAGGGAGGGAGGCGGAATCAGCCGCAGCTCCAGATTGTTCACTACATTTTCCCCTCCACATTTTTTTGGCAGCGGCAGAGCTTGCTTCTTAAAAATAATTCATGGCTTTTTAAAAGAAGCGTCTGCGCAGGCTAATGGAGCATTGGTGGTGCGGTGGAGTCTCCCCTGGCTTATCTCTGTCAGACAGTTGCGGGGAGCGCTGGTGCCCGTGTCAGTGCAGCGTGGAGGGTGCAGCGCTGCGCGGGCTGCAGGCCTGGGGACACACTTCAAAGAGGCAGGGGTGAGAGCGCTCGGCTCTGATCCTCCACCAGAGCAGCCCACTCAGCCCAGAGGCCCGCTGCACACCGCCCTGTCATTCCAAAACACAACACTTCACCAAACTGCAACCAAACTTACTCCACAACTTTAAAACCCTCATCAGCTCAGCTATACATCTCCATCAAAGTTCACATAGTCTTAAGAACAAGACACGTGCTTACAAATCTCTCTCTCCCTCGCACTTATCATATCAGAAACAAGGTGGCGGCAAGTATTCATGGCTGTGCTGAAATGAATACGTTCAGCCCTAAATGTATACCACAACACAGGGCAAAAACAATGTATGTATTTTATATGTTTTATGCTGTATTAATGAAATGCTAAATTTGATTAAACTTGGATGTGCCGTATTGAAATTGCCAATAGTTTTCAGCCACTAACACTCAATTTTTTTCTGTTGTGAATAAAGACAAATTCTGTGCCTGGAGCAACAAATTTAGATTTTACAACTAGACATTCTCAAGTTATTAAAATCACTCTCACTACCCTATAATAAACCTCAAATATTCAAAAATCCATACAGCCAAAACAATAAACTATGCATGTAAGCAGCTCTCATTCCACTCTCATTTGTCCAACATGTGTCAGATGCTCTCCCCACAGTGACTAGCATGCTCTGTTCTGATATTTCTTTCCTGATGTCATTATTTCTGTAAAACATTCCTCTGGGGAGTGAAACCAGAGCTGTGCCCGTGACTGGACTGGACCACATGGACAGTTGTTTCCTCTCCTCTCCCACCAAGTGTCCCTGTCAGACACAGAAGAGGAATGCACCAAATACCCCCTTATGTAAAAAAATGGCTATAGCTTTATTACTGTTTGGTATTGCATATATATTTAAATTTATTTTAATGTAAGTACAAGGATAAATGGCACATCATCACAATTTCTGGGTTTCAGATGGTATTACAAAATTGAAGGCCTTTAGTATCCAACTGAGACGGGATCACGTTAAAATTATATTGCGAACTTAATGTGCTGATTTTCTCGTGGTATCATGAACCTTACAAACTATCATAATTTAACTGACATTAAAGTATTTCACATTTGGATATTTTTGATTTTGAATACAGAAAAACTGCCTCCTGACATCAATTCAAAAACTCCAATTCATGAACATGTAAACAACCAATAACCAACGATATACACTGGGTAATACTGCAGTACTGTGTCTTTAAGAGCTCTACATAAACCAGAATTTGTTGAAAGAATTCCAAATAGCGGTCTCCCTGCCCTCTGTGCCCTTGCCGTCTCCCTAACACCTGCTGTGCTGTTAAATGAAACAAGACCAGTGACAAAACACACTTCTGGTCCTTCTGCCTTTGCCCAGCCATGCACAGCTCCACTGTCAGCTCCTCTAATACTCTATACCTCCCTCCTCTGGCCCATAGCGCCATCCAGGCCACAGGCTGTAATGGGAAAACCTGCGCTGTCGGGATAGGTTATGGGATTGGGATGGACGCGAGCTCCAGTCGGTAACGCCGGACTCTGCAGGTTTCCATTACACTCCTGGCACCGCGCCGCCGCAGTCTATTTACTGGGAATCACAGAATTTTTGTCAATCTTTACAGCAATTGCTAAGGCATCAACGCTAGACACTTGAGGAAAATGGCCCGCACATACCACTGCACAAGCATATCTCAGCCAAACAGATGCAGCCTCGATTTCCACCTCACTCAAACCTGAGTCTTTGTGTTGCTTTTCCCATCACAGCAACAGGAGAATGTGAGCCACCCATTGATACCGTTCAGCTGATGTCGTCAACGTGAGGGGGGGTGAGGCTAACTGGGGGCACTGCTCTGTCTGAAGCTGCTCAAGACTCAAGCCATCTGCAGCTCTCTGTTCAGTTCTGCTCTTTCCAAAATACAATGTGAGCATCGTGTTTGCAGCACACAGACACTCCGAGACACAAAAAAGAACAATCCACAGTTTAACCTTTGCATAAAAGACAGAGACAGCTCAGGTGGAGATGAAGAGACTGAAGAGATTTGTATCAAACCCACTTGATGATGAGTAATTGAATAGTTGAGATCCCAGAGCGATGTTGGCCAAAGGCTCCTGTCCTAATCCTCACTATGACAGGAAATGTGTAATATCCGGCTCATGTGTGAATGGCTGTGAGAGGCAGAGAAAGCGCGTGCCCCATGCCAGTATTAGAGAGCCATTAATGAAAAATGAGTCCATGTTCCTGGTGTTTTGTGCAGGTTTGCAGTGAGAGCATTAGCAGTTAAAGCCCCTGTGCCACGATTAACAATCAAGCACGCTGTGAGCTGCATGTTATCCTGCGACGCTCCGCACGACGGAAAATCTCTTTTTTGTCACAAAATCCTTAATTCTTTCTTCTCTGAAGAAAGAGGGTAATACCAAGAATGTTTCCAATCTGCTTTGAGAAATATTTGAAGGAGAAAAAAAACTCCCAATAAAACATGTGTGAACGACGGGGTAATTGTGGACAAATGCAGCATTGAAATTCATTTTCAACTCTTTACACACCATTTCAATCTTATTTTCTGCCTGTTAACCACGTCTTGTTGGTAAGGCTGGGCAAGACTGGCCAGTATTGATGGGTAATTGTGTATAATTCACTCCGTACACATGATTTGCATCAATACAAATCATTTTCCATTCTGCGTGACTTAAACCTCAGCCCTGACTATGGAGTTTATAAACGCTCATTAATGAAGGGTCCAGGAGGTTAGACCAAGAAATGTACCCATTTTACGTGCAAAAAGCTCACATTGTGACAATGGAGCATTTTCTTATGTAAAAACATACATTTCTGTTTGAATATTGGGAGCGTTTAGTGCCTGCATTGTGACTGGCAGGTGCACAGTGACAGGTAGAGTGACCAGGCTGGCTAATCCTGATTGAAAAGCTAACGTGGTGATGTTGGATCTGTCAGCATGGAGCTTTTCAAAGAGGCGTTCAATCACACAAACTGCAGAGTCTTACCACAGCACACAATTACATGAAGAAGATTACGTGTCTACATTTATAAGCTTTAGCTAATTATTTCATCTGCATGTGTTCCTACTGGGCGCCTCTGGATTTAGATTTCCCAGGGAAGTCGAAAAGAACGGTTTGAAGCCGAGCGAGTACTTGTGGTATACTATCAAGATGAATTTTAATTTCTTGATGTTAATCCAATTGTTTTACGAATGTAGCAATTTCCAGAAGCTAAAATAAATCCAGAGCTTTGGAAGATGAACATGAAAGCCCACACCAGAGGTTATTTTGTAGAACATCATTTTTTCACAATTTTAATTTCAATTTTCAATCAAAGACAATTACGTGACAAGAAAATGAAAGCGAAGTGGGGGAAGACAGAGTGACTACTGACCCTTGAATGTAATTAGAAAGTCTACAGCCCAAATGTACTTGTAGAGAATTTGAATATATGTAAAATATAATTAAAAGTGCTCATCGAGGTCCAACTTGGTTCAGTGAAAGCATTTACTTGTTTTGTATTAAATGAAAAATCAGTGGCAGAAGCTTTTAGTTAATTGGTTCTTCAATTATAATGTCATGCATTTTGCTAATACTCTGACATGGTGTTTTAATGTCTTGCATAACATATATTTCTGTGACTTAAAGCATTTGCTACTCATATGAATCAAGTAGCTCCTTACAAATTGATTGAGTACCTTTTTCTAAAACCACATGTGTGCTAATTTATCATTTAGGTTACATCATGTACTTCATTTAAATAGTACTTTTTGTCCATATGTAGTGCACCGATATAACAGCCTCTACCTAAACATTACAATATAAGTATTTGTACAAGTTTATATATAAAAAATATGCAAGCAGATGTAATTTGTGGTTACCTAGCCAGCAAGAACCACAAGCTTTGACAAAACTTTACAAAGATGAGTGGATCTGGAGCCATATCCTATCTCCCTGATTTGAGAGGGTGTGATTGACAGGTGGATTAACCAATCAGAGAGACACATGCTCCATTTGCTTCTAAAACAAACATGGCTGCTTATACGTAAAAAAGGGAAAAAAAACTACATAAAGGCCTTAGAAACCATGTAGATTTTTTTCAGAATCAGCAATCGAAGCACCCAACTGTTACTTATCTCAGGTAAAAGAAGCTATATATTTTGTTTTGAATGATACAAGAGGAAATGTCATTTGAGAGACACATGTTACAAATTGGCATCTGTGCTTGGACCGTCTCAAGTTTGTTGTTTTTCACGCTCTGTGGTCCGATTCCAGACCCTTCTGGATTCAAACAAAATGTAGAAGGGACTGGCAGAGAGTTGATGTACAGAATATAATCTGAAAAGCCCCACTATTCATGGTTTGTATTTGAAATAGTGAATTGCGCTCATTATGAAACCCATGGACAGTTAGTATGTGTTTGTCTCTGACCTGTGGCGAGAGTCCGTTGCTGACCGCGTTCATGTGGTTGCTGGAGGCCGAGGGGCTCATGAAGGTGTCCGAGTAGCTGGAAAAGCTGTGGCGGTTGGACGTGAGACCGTAGGCCGAGCTACTGTCAGCGCTGAGACCGCCCTGGTGCATGGAGGAGGGGGGGAGGGGCTGGGGTCTGTGCAACGTGCTGCCACCCTCTGACAATGCACAGGTGAGAAGAGAAGCAGAGATAAGAAGAATGAATGCAGTTATACAAGGATATACTGACTGTTTTGGTGCATTCACAGTTGTGCACACATCACATCTAAACTGGGACTAAACTTGGACTAAACCAGAACTAAACCAGTTTATGCCAGGACTAACTGAAACCAGGAGTATGAGTAAATAATCAGTGTTGGTATATATAAATCGAGATACCACAAAGACACCAATGAGCCTCTGAAAATTATACTGATAATAATATACTAATATACCAAAATGTATTAAAGTAGCTAACCCTAACCTCTTAGAGAAACCAATAAACTAAATCAATATGATGGTTCTTTAGGCCTTCTAATGCCTCTCTGAATCAACACAAAGCTGCTATTATAAATCTAAGCTCAATTATGCAGCACATGTCCCATATCATTTATAATTCTGTTAACATGAATGTAAAATATGGACGACATACTATAAATAAACCACAATAATTTGATCTGGAATCTATTGAATTATACTATAATGGTAACAGAGCTTACGTAAAGTGAACAGTATGGTTCTCTGTATTACCCTGTGATAGTGTAGTACTTTGGTATTTTGTATTACCCTGTGATAATGTAGTACTGGGGTATTTTGTATTATCCTGTGATAGTGTAGTACTGGGGTATTGTGTATTATCCTGTGATAGTATAGTACTGGGGTATTTGTATTACCCTGTGATAGTGTAGTACTGGGGTATTTGTATTACCCTGTGATAGTGTAGTACTGGGGTATTTGTATTACCCTGTGATAGTGTAGTACTGGGTATTTGTATTACCCTGTGATAATGTAGTACTGGGGTATTTTGTATTATCCTGTGATATTGTAGTACTGGGGTATTTTTTATTATCCTGTGATAGTGTAATACTGGGGCATGTGTATTACCCTGTGATAGTGTAGTACTGGGGCATGTGTATTACCCTGTGATAGTGTAGTACTGGGGTATTTGTATTACCCTGTGAGTGTAGTACTGGGGTATTTGTATTATCCTGTGATAGTGTAGTACTGGGGTATTTGTATTACCCTGTGATAGTGTAGTACTGGGGTATTTGTATTACCCTGTGATAGTGTAGTACTGGGGTATTTGTATTACCCTGTGATAGTGTAGTACTGGGGTATTTGTATTACCCTGTGATAGTGTAGTACTGGGGTATTTGTATTACCCTGTGATAGTGTAGTACTGGGGTATTTGTATTATCCTGTGATAGTGTAGTACTGGGGTATTTGTATTACCCTGTGATAGTGTAGTATTGGGGTATTTGTATTACCCTGTGATAGTGTAGTACTGGGGTATTTGTATTACCCTGTGATAGTGTAGTACTGGGGTATTTGTTTTACCCTGTGATAGTGTAGTACTGGGGTATTTGTTTTACCCTGTGATAGTGTAGTACTGGGGTATTTGTATTACCCTGTGATAGTGTAGTACTGGGGTATTTGTATTACCCTGTGATAGTGTAGTACTGGGGTATTTGTATTACCCTGTGATAGTGTAGTACTGGGGTAGCTGGATTCGGGGAGCTGGTATGTGGGCAGAGTGGGCATCCCGGTCGGGGGGAATCCTCCAGGAAGCAGGTGGTTAAACGCCGCAAGCTGATTGGCTCCTGCCTGTTTACGCCATCGGGCACGCCTGTTGCTGAACCACACCTAAACGACAAAGAAATGTGAAGTTAGAACAAGAAAATAAAAGCAAAAAGCAGAATTTTGACATTTTTCTTCCAATATATTTTGATTTCAATAGGAATACATTTGGGAGGTTGCTAACATTAGATCATGGACAAAAGGGCCATACTTAAATGTGACTGCTTAAAAGTGTAAAAGTTATTACACAGTATTAACACACACTTAATACAAGAAGGAATAGAATTGATATGTATGCATTTATAATTAAACAATGCTTTACCACATGAAACAGACAGTGGGGTCAAGCTTTTTGTGTCATTCGTTCCTGTGTGATTTCCCATGTCCCTGCTGGTGTGTGGCACCTGTCATTAATCTCCCAGTGTCAGTGTCAGTGCATGTGTGTGTGTGTGTGTGTGTGTGTGCATGTGTGTGTGTGTGGGGGGGGCTGTCGTGCTGCTCTTAAGTGCTGTGAGCTGTGATGTGTGTAAACAGACTGGCCTAAGCCCTCTCCAGAGAGACCAGTGGTTTAGGGGTCAGAGGTAGGTCTTTAGCCTCCCCATCACACGGAGCAGTTCACAAGTGTGTTTGACAAGCTACTGAGCCAAGTTCTGCATGTTAAATACTCAAGCACACGTTTAGTTCAAGCGTGGAGTGGAGGTGATTAAAAAGCACACTTGATAGGGAATTCTAAGTGATAAGAAAAGCAGAGTTTACAAAGGATGCCCTCTAAAAGTCCGGTTATAATAAGGTGTTTTTAGTTCTTCTTATTACAGTCGTTTACTTTCAGTGACTGCTTTAAAAGGTCAAAAAGCAAGAAAAAATATCAAGTTGAAATTATGTGAATTTTAAAGGTGCAAAACCTTTCTGGTGCTTTTCTCTGTGGAGATGTTATTGCTTTATCTGGAAACTTTTACAGTATGGTATTAAGCCTTTCTATCTTCATGGAGATGTAACTAGACCAAGTTACAGGTCAGCTCTGTGGAGAGGCAGCCCCGCTCGCAGTCAGAATACTATAAAACCACCTGTAATTTAATAAATGTAAGGTAGAGCTGTTTAAAGTCATCCTGTGGAACATTCCAGGCAGAGCAATGAGTTATGAATAGAAACAAGCAGGTGGCAGGCCCGTAACCAAAAAGGCAAAATATTGACCATTCCAGTCTAATCCAACCAATAGAATCACCTAGTCTGTAAAGATTTTAATATTGATTTGAGCCAGATGCCCAACCTGACACAATGCTCAGGATTTATCAGGTTTTGAGCAGTTATTGCCTCATGTTAGTTACTGTGCCCAAGCATTACTAAGTTTGATGTATCCAGTTTTTTGATAAAATTATAGGCCAAAACAGAGTATAGACATTCAAATGTGTCTTTTCTTGTTCTAAATAGCCCCTTAATTCAAACTATTTAACTTCAAAGTCAACTTCTGAGTCTATAAACACCAAAAAAGCTCCCAAAACGAGCACCACCGAAGCCTCTTTGACACAAAACCTCAGTGAATAAAAAAGGGGGAGAGGCAGGCGAGTCGGACTCCTTTTGAAAGTGACCAAAGATTTACACATTTTAAAAAGACTCTCGCTTCAACAAAACACAAATATAATCAGGCAGTTTTTTGAAAAGACGCCAGCAACCTGTTCTCCTTTTTGGACGAGACAAGGCCCGGGCTGAGCTGTGTGCAGAGGGGTTGAGGGACATTGATCTATGGCTCGCACAACCAATTCATCAGAGTTTAATACACTGTCAGCGCAGTTCATCTACTGTTGTGGCCGGTCCATTGTGAGCACACTTGAAAGAGGGGCACAAAGCGAGCTCCATACGCCACAGAGGGGAGAGGACAAAAGCAGGGGGCGTCCCTACTAAACAGCTCCTATTGGCTCCGAGAGACTTTGAGAGAGGACTTACACCGAAACTCACCACGTTTAGGCTATAGTGCTTCTTGGTGCACAAACATAAACTTGTACAAGGGAGATCTTAATTTGAATGTGGGTTTGGAGGTAAGATTCTGAAAGAGAGTGGTTTTTGACTTTGGTGCTTGGAAGAGTGGGAGAAAGTTTGGCCTAAAACTGGTGGAGGTGGGACAAAGATAAATTAGGTGAATATATCATGCAAATGTGTTGAAATCTGGGTTTGCTTCTCAAAGCCAGAAGTGTGTTGCTTAAAATGGTGGATTTTGTTGTCCAAAAAAGACATTTGTCCAATATTCTGACAAAAGAGAATTTAGAAATATGCTAAATTATGGTCACAAAGCCATAAATGTGCTATAATGTTGGAGGAAGTTGAAAGTGCTCTAGATGGACCAACTTGACTTTTGTTATAAAGTTGTTCCCTCATCAAAAACATACCTGGAGTTTTGTTTTGCTTCATTCATACATGTTTGAGTATCCCTTTTTTGTTAGTCCAACTACATCTCCAAAGCTCAAAATGCTCTGATCCACCTTGTGATGTCATGAAGCATAGTTTTCAAGTTAACAACTACTTTTTTACCTTTAGTTCAGTGGAGATTGTCAATTCCAGGGCTAAAATTTTCCCCATGAGTCTAGTGAAAGTGTATGGAGTTTAAAAACACATTGGAGCAATTACCACATGACATCACAAGGTGGAATGGAGTGTGTCAAACATGCGTAAATAAAAAAACAACAACAAAACAACTCTGGTTTTGATGAGGAAGACAACATTATAACAAATCAGAAAATAGCGTGCACGGGCCCTTTAAAGAAGATGCAACAGGAGCAAAAGCAGGAAAACCTCAATTACAGCAGTTAAAAACCAACAGGGTCTCTTTATGTGGGGCTGATCTCTCTTAAAGACCCCCGGACACTTAGGGCCAAACAAATGCAGTGTGTGATACCAGTGAAACCAGTGAAACCAGTGCCATTGGGATGTAGTGGAGCGTGCTCTGAGGCCTGCCTGAGCCCCTCCTGGCCCAGACAAACAGCTGCCCGCTCAGGGGAGGGGCAGGAGGACACACCCCTTTCTCCACAGCCCGCCCCGTCCCCCAGTGCCACTTCACCTCCGACCCCGACCACTCACCCCCCGCTGCCTTTCATCTCCCCTGATTTCCTTAGCCCAATTTGTATCTGAAATATCAAGAGGATCCAATATGTCAGACAAGTGTTTTTCCTGATTTTTATCTATTGGTAAATGGTAATGGTGTCTGGAATGTTTCACAGTATGGCATTAACCTTTCTATTTTCATGGAGACCAAACCAGACCAAGTTACAGGTCAGATCTGTGTAGGGGCAACCCCGCTCACAGGCAGAATGCTGTTTTTTTTAGGTATTTTTGAACTATAAAACCATCTGCAGTTTAATAAATATAAGGTAGACCTGTTTAATGTTATACTGTGGAACATTCCAGTCAGAGCAATGACATAGAAACAAACAAGTGATGATGGACCCAAACCCAAAAAGTTGCATAGAGCTACTTTAAAGAACCAAAATAAACCAATTTCAAATCAAACGGCAGAAAAATCAATGGGAATGGTAGAAAATCTGAGTTAGAAGATGGACTTAATTTTTTTCAGGATTGAAATTACATCCTAAACCTTAAAGACTCAAAGGTACACTATGCAGCCTTTCTAGTGGACAGTACAACCTGCTTGTCTCCATGGAGATGTTATTGTGTTGCTAGGCATGCTCTACAATATGACAAATTAACAATTATTTTATTACTCAAAAATACATTGAAAACCATGCATTTTTTTATTGTAAGCAAGGTCACCTCCCCACAGATCTGATCTATAACTTTGCCCAGTGGTGTCAGCATTAGGGCTGGATATCATTAAGAAGCTGTCGATACGATACATACCTCGATACATAGGCCACGATATGATACATATCTCGATACAGTGCACTTTCAGTTCGATATGATATATTGAAAATATATTCAATACGGTTCAAAAAAAAAAAAAAAAAAAAAAAAAAAAAAAAAAGGTTAAATCAGCAATACTAAAAGTCTTTGTTAAACTACTTCTTGTGCAAAGTTCATATTAAACACACCCATTTTAATCATCAAAACAGAAAATGTCAAATGTGTCGCCTAAACGAGTTTCCTTCGTCTAAACAAGCAACAAAACTATAGCTGAAACAAAATAATTTAGGAACATACCAAAAAATACTCTTGGCGATATATAGATACAGCAGTCCCCAATATCGATACTGTATCACAACATTAAATGATACGATATACTGAAATTTTGCTATTTTTGCACATCTCTAGTCAGCATCTCTTTGTTTATTAATATTTTTATGCCATACTGTGAAAAGTAAAGTAAGGCCCTAAAATTGAAACCAATTTCTTCGTATCTTGTTCCAACTAGATGAATCAACAACTGCAACCCTCAACTCACCTTCACTGACAAATCCAGAGCCATATATACAACGTAATAGAGTGTTGGATATAGGGCGATTTCTGCTGCTCCTCTGCATATACTGGGATAACACTGCAGCCATATGTCCTCACAGTCTTGCATACATTAGGAATACAGCTCTCTCTCTCTCACCCATTCTCCTTCTACATCTTCCCCTCACTCTCTCTCCTTCTCACCCCATCATCCTCCACCTTCTCTTTGGCCCTCTCCCTCTCTCTTTCCTCTCTCTCGGAGTAAGTACCACACATGGCCTGGAGCGCAGGATTTGAGGCTGCGCTCTGGAACCTGATCACAAAGTCACCTTGGACCGCTCCTCTGCACAATCCGCTTTAATTCTCCTGCAGTACAGAGAGCTGGGCCGATAGCTGCTCTGTCTACCTACGAGAAGTGTGTCACCCAATTCACTCTCCCTAGTCCTGGAGTCACGCACTAAAAGGTTTCCCTGCTTCTACAATTGTGGGACTAAGTTTGGGGAAAAAGGTGGGGTGGATGGTATATTCACTGGGTTTCACCTTTCAGCTATATTCAACATTTTGAGTTTTTTTTTTTTTTTTTTTTTTCACATTCAAAATAAATCATTGTTCTGTTAATAGTTCATCGCTATGGCAACGGTCATAATAATTAATCATTCTGAAACTCAGGGAACTCACTTATTATA